TAGAAAGAATGCAGAATGTCAGGAAAACCCCCTGGGTGCTTGCTGAACCCCCCGTACCGCTGTGGCAGGTGGGTGGGGAATGGGGAAGGAGAAGTGGGGGAAGTAGGGGGGGGATAAGAAGGGCTCCCCAGCCAGGCAGAACCCGCAGACCCCATAGAAAGAAAGCAGGATGTCAGGAAACCCCCCTGGGTGCTTGCTGAACCCTCCGTACCGCTGTTGCAGGAGAGAGGGAGAGGGGGGAAAGTGGGGAAGGGGGGAAGGGGAGAATGGCTCAAGAAGGGCAGAAGCCGCAGACCCCGTAGAAAGAATGGAGGATGTCAGGGAATCCCCCTGGATGCTTGCTGAACCCTCCGTACCGCTGTGGGGGCAGAAGGCAAAGATAGGGGAGAGGGGAGAGTGGATCACGAGGGGCAGAACCCAGAGACCCTGTAGAAGGAGCGTGTGATGCTGGGGCAGGGGCAGCGGCTGACCAGCAGCAAGGCAGAACCCACAGGCGCCATGAAAGGAATGGGGGATGCCTGGGAAACCCCCTGGGGCTTGCTGGCCCCTCCGTGCCTCTGTGGGAGGGGGGAGGGGGGGATGAAGGGAAAGAGAACTAAAAGGGGCTGAACCGGCAGCCAGGAACAGCCCACAGACCCACCGGAGGAATGCAGGATGTTGGGGAGCCCCCCTGGATGCTTGCTGATCCTTTTGTACCTTCAAGGGAGAAAGGGAAAGTGGGGTTGAAATGTTGAGATGGAGCATATGGGAAGAAAGGCGATAATTGTTATAACTTGATTTGAAGAAATCGGGGAACCCTCCTCCCCCCCCACCCCTGGCCCCCTGGCCCCCTGGATGCTCGCTGAACCTGCCATCACTTTGAGGAGCGATGGCAGGTTCACCTCCACTTTGAGGAAGCAAATGCTATTCAGCTACTTAACACTCCCCCCCTCTTAAGTGGTCAATGTGTTTAGTAGCTGAATAGCATTTGCTTTCTATATCCTTGTGCATGTCTGTACCTGCTCGGATCTAATACAACGGACCGCTTGAGAGAGAGAGCGCGTCTTAGCATGTACGGTTCATTGTTGTTAAGATATATTTGTGCTTCTCCTTTGCGTGCATCCTTTTTTGCTACAATGTTCCTCATGCTGGCTGCAAGCACAGAAACCACTACAGCCAGGACAGACAAATCAGCCCCAGAAGCCATAACATCCACAGCAGCCACAGTTGACACTGTACTCACAGCTGACACAGCATTCACAACTGACACAGCATTCACAGCTGACACAGGACCCACAACTGACACAGGAGGCGCATCAGAGACCTCAGTGTCAGCTGTGCGTGATGTGTCAGCTGTGCGTGATGTGTCAGCTGTGAATGCTATGTCAGTTGTGGGTGCTGTGTCAGCTGTGAGTGCTGTGTCAGATGTGAATGCTGTGTCAACTGTGAGTGGAGTGTCAGTTGTGGTTGCTGTGGATGTTGTGGTTTCTGGGGCTGAGCTGTCTGTCCTGGCTGTTGTTGTTTCTGTGCCTGCAGCGGGAATGAAGAACATTGCAGCAGAAAGGGATGCATGGAAAGGAGAAGCATAAACGGATCTCAACATCGATGAACCGTACATGTTGAGACGCCACTTCTTAAACTCATCCCACCCCCGCACCTCTTCACTTCCAGTTGGGTGATGGTGGGAGAGGGTGTATGGTTCAGAAGCCGGTCTGGTGTTTGACCTCACACCCTCTCCCCTTTCCCAGCCTCGCTTTCCTCCCTTCTCCCTTCCCTTCTCCCCCCTCATCCTCGCCCTCCCCCTCATCCTCCCCCCCCCCCTCCTCTTTTCCCCCCATCTCCGCCTCTTCCTCTTCCCTCTCCACCTCGTCCTCTTCTCTCTTCACCCTTTCCTCTCCTCTCTTTTGTCTCTTACTTTCCCTTGCCAAATCTTCCTGTGCTGCACGCTCACCTCTGAGCAGCAGCGACAGAGGTGGAGCATAGGAAGATTTGGCAGCAGCAGCAGCAGCAGCAACAGCAGCAGCAGCAGCAGCATGAGGACGAGTAGAAGCACTTGGGGTTGTTGTGCCCGCTGTGGCTGCAATTGAAATTTGAGTTTTTGGGGACGCTGTGGGTGCTCTAGCAGCTGTGCCTGCTCTGTCTGCTGTAGATGCTGTGCCTGCTGTGGATGCTGGGCCTGTGGATGATGTGGGTGATGTGGCTATTGAGGCTGATATTTCTGCATTTATCCATGTGCTGCTCATCCCCATGAGCTGCTCATCCCCATGTGCTGCTCATCCCAGTGCTGCTCATCCCAGTGCTGCTCATCCCAGTGCTGCTCATCCTTTGTTGTTGATAGCTGAAAAGCTTGACAAAAGTGCTGTTAGTCTCTCACAGTGCTCTGGCAGGTGAAGAGGAAGTTTCGTAGGGCTGGGAAGTCAATAAGGTGGTCTGCTCCCAACATGCTCAGTGTGCCGCCCACCCTGGGAGAACGTGAGGATATAGTAGCAGTAAGAAGAGCGATTGAACACACAGAGTGATACACGTAAGAAGGTGTACCAGAAATGGGCTGGGAGGTGACTCTAAATACGGGCTGGGAGGTTGCTTCATGTAAAGAAGAAGAAAAACAAACAGCAGCAGGGATGGGCAGAACCCGCCAGAGTGCATAATGTGTCGGCGGCTGGGTTGTTTACCCAGCTAGCGGTCTTAGGAACAAAACCGAATTGACAAATGCAGTTGTACGAACAAAGACGAGCTTAGAAATCGAATACGGAAGGTGACGGCAGGAGGGGGGAACCAACCAGAATGCATAGCATGTGTCGGCTGGCTTGTTTCGCCGCCCCTGGAATCCCCCCTCTGCTCCCTGCCTCTGCTCTCAAGGGAGAAGAGATGGCGTCAGGTGGGATGCGGTGGGATGTGGTGGGATGGGTTGGGACAGGGTCGGATGGGGTTGGATGGGGTGGGTTGGGCGAGGATGGAAACAGATGATATGGCGACATTGTGTTGTGCAGTGGATGTACAGTGGAAATATGGTTCTACTTGTTTAACCAGCCGAGCCCACCACCCCACTCAAACAGAAGAGGGCAAGATTTGACTAAAAATTGGCGTTAGTTGTTTAACCAGCCGAACCCACCACCCCACCCAAACAGAAGAGGGCAAGAGTTGACTAAAAATTAGTGTTAGTCGTTTAACCAGCCGAGCCCACCACCCCACCCAAACAGAAGAGAGCGAGAGCCGACCTGGGAGCAAGGGTCGATAAAAAAAAGCAACAGCCGGAAAGGGAGAGAGTGTGAATGCGAGAGCAAACCTGAAGGCACCAGTCGATTAATGGGAGCACGTAGGGGGACGTGAAAAGGGAGCTGCTTGTCTGTTCTTCTGCTACTGCTTGCACGCCTGCAGCTTCTGCCTCCTCTTGTGCACCTGCTGCTGCATCTGACTCATTGCGTGCGCCAGCTACGGGTGTTGACAGTAATTGCAGCAGCGGAGACAGTGGCAGCGGAAAATGTGATTGCTCTGCCGCCACTGCCAATGGCGATGCTGCTGCTGCTGAAGCTGCTAGTGATGCTCCAGATGATGATACTGGCGATGCTGTTGGTAGTGATGATGGCACTGCTGTTTTTGCTCCTGGCGATGAAACTGTTGCTGCTGCTGCTCCTGATGACGACAGTACAGATGACGTTGAAGCTGCTGGTGTTGCTGCTACTGAAGGCAGTAACTCTGATCTTGAAGATGCAATGAGCTGCAGGGCTGCCACGGCGCAGTAGGTGGCTCCTCCTGCAGCGAGATTGTACACAAAAGAGGTCATATTGGAGCCACAGTGGAGATTTGAGTTGATGCTGTGGTATTGATGACCAACGCCTATCTCAAATTTCAGGATCGAGGGTCCCCTCATCTACCTTCCCCCATTCCCCCCCCCCTACTCTCCCTCATCTATTTACTCCCAATCACAAAGGAACAAACGGAAAGGACCTGAACAGCATCGCGGCGCCTCCAGAAAAGACAACGTCAACCAGAAGAAGGAAAAGGAAATGAAAGGAAGGCAACCTTTGCAAGCCAACTACCCACCATGAGCTTCGAAGCCTGGGCCGAGGCCAAACCCGCCATCGAATGACTGGTGGAGGGTGTTGGGAAGAGAGGGAAGGAGCAGGCGGCTTTGCTTGAGACTGAAGGCTGTGCTGAGATACCTACGCAAGATACCCACCATGAGCTTCGAAGCCTCGACCTAGGCCAATCCCGCCATCAAAGTACTGGCAGAAGGTGTTGGGTGGAAAAGGAAGGAAGCAAGCCCGTGGGGAGAATGGAGGGGAAGGAAACGGTCTTAAGATAAACCGTCTTGATAAGGAATTAGCAGGCTCGTACTTCATTCATTCACCCGTCCCTATCCCTCCCGTTTTCCCGATCCCAACCATTGCCCATCTCAAATCACATTGCAACGTGCAGCCAACCCGGAACAGCCACTCCCCCATGCCCTCTCCCCCCACTCTCCGAGCTCTTGCCTACCTGAGAGCTCTGAATGTAGGCAACAGCACGGGGGATGTCCACTCCCCGTCAATCCCCACGCCCATTACACACCACTACGCTGCGCACCGCTCCCCACCACTGCCCACCACTGCCCACCACTCCCCACCACTCCCCCACCACTCCCCACCACTCCCCCACCATGTGCCCAGTGCCTACCTGTGACCTCTGAATGTAGGCAACAGCACGGGGGATGTCCACTCCCCGACAATCGCCAATCATGCTTGAAATGGCCGCTGCGGGGTTGGTTGTTCGGTTCAGACAGGGTGAATGGCAGAGGAGAGCAAGGGAGAGGATGCCGCGAGAGTGAGAGACAGTAAACCAGCCCGAACATTACGAACATGAAAGACCTAACAGACAGAATTGAATCACCAACATGAGCCAGGGAGGATGGGACAGGACAGTGTGAGAGAGAGAGAGAGAGCAGACAACGCATCAGCATTTCCCCATGCCAGCCCACGATATGTTTTAGGGTAACTCTAGGAATGGCCTCACCACCCCTCACCACCCCGCACCACCCATCATCATCCCGCACCACCCCTCACCACCCCCAACCCCCACTTACCAGCACAGAATACAAAGCGCATGTCAGACTCACTGCCACACGCAACTGGCATGAAACTGGAGGGAGAGCAGGAGGGAGGGAGAGCGGGAGGGAGGAGCGGTGAGGGAGGCAGCACACGGAATGGGAGGAAAAGGGCAACGTGGAGTATGAAAATCCACATTGTTTTATGGTTTGAGAGTGTGAGAATCACCATCTCACACCTCCCCTAACCCCCTTATCAGCCCAGTCAAGCCATGCCCAGCGGTTAGTCTCACCTCCCACCCTGCAGCTGCAGCTCTCGCAGGGACTTCGCCAAGCCTCGCGCCTCCCCTACTCCTCCACACGCTGCTGCCCAGCCAAGCCCAGCTCAGCGCGTCTTAGCCCAGCCCAGACTAGCCAAGCAGTTTATCTCACCTCCCGTCTTGCAGCTGCAGCTCTCGCAGGGACTTAGCCATGCCTCGCACCTCCCCTGTTCCACCCGTTGCTGTGGCATCCACTCCGTCCCCGCCCCTTGCACACACCCCATCCTCCCACCCGCCGAGCACCCGATTCCCATCCTCACCCCTTGCACTCCCTCCCTCGCTGCTTCTCTCATCCACCTGCTCCCCGGGCAACCCTTCACCCCCCCTAGGTGGCTTCTCCACAGGATCTTGGCGCAAGTCTGGTAGGCTGGCGCAGCCACTGGCAGCAGCACTGCAACCTGCATTGTCAGCGGCACTGCCAGCGGCACTGTTGTGAATGGGAGCAGGCTCGTCATTCAGGGTGGCGAGGATGGCGAGGGCAGTGTAGGTCATGGCGATGTGGCTGCAGTCGTAGGGGGACTGCTTTAGCGCCTGGAAGTGAACAAAGGTGTGCAAAGGGGTACAAAGTGGTTCAACATCCTTGATTCAGTGCTACTAGGAGAAGGCTCCTTTAGGGTGGCAAGGATGGCGAGGGCAGTGTAGGTCATGGCGATTTGGCTGCAGTCGTAGGGGGAATGCTTGGACACCTGGAGGTAAGGGGGTCGAAAGTGGTGTAAAGGGGCGTAACGACGAACAAAGGGGTGCAAAGGGGCGGAACATGCTTGATATACTGCGATTAGCCCTTCGTGTGAAGAGGATGGTGAGGGCAATGCTAACTTAGCAATGCTAAGAACCCTAGCATTGCCATCCTCTTCACGCCCTCGCCAACGCACACAAGCACACTAGCACCACCTCTGCCTGTAATCAGGTACAAACGACCCTCCATTCCTTTCTCACAATGGCTCCTCTGCACCGTGAAGTGTGAGTGAAAAGCAGGAAGGCTGCTACTCACACGCTTTTCAAAAGGGTGAGTGTTCCGGCTACTCACCCTTTTGAATCCACGAACACTAGCTTTGATTACCCCACTTACTCACCCCTTGTGTGCTGTACTTCACGCCAATGGAAGGCGAGCCTCGAAACCCTAGCACCTCTGCACCCAGGCGCAAAGGACCATTCATGCTGCTGCCACACCCTGCTGCTGCCTCCAGCTCCCGTGCCACTGCTGCTGCTGCTGCTGCTGTTGTTGTTTCTCAGAGCCATGTCAGCACCACCTTGAATGGATAAGGTTGACACGTCAGCGCCAGTTTGCACAGAAAGCGTTGAGATGGAAGCAGCAGCTTCGGCGATTGGAGTGGGAGTGGCGGTGGTAACATGATCTGTTACAGGGTTACCACAAATATTCTTTGCCTGAATCATTTCAGGGTCCAGGACCTTCAGGGAATGCACCCAGTTGAGAATCTTCTGACGATCCACCTGAGACATTCGATTTTAGGGTCAAGGAGAAAAAAAGGGTCTGGTTAGATGAGCGGTTACAGGGTTACCACCTTCATCCTTCTCCGCCTGGGTACATTCAGGGTCCAGGACCTTGAGGGAATTTACCCAATTGAGAATTTTCTGGCGAGCCATTTGAGACAACCAAGCAAGTAATTCAGATTTTGTACGTGAATTTGTAGCATGGTTACAACGCTTATAACGCATACAAACCATGTCAAGAGCTTGCAGGAGATCCAAAGCGACGATGAAAAAGTAAGCCAATGTGAGCCGGTTGGTGTCAATTCAGTTCCCGAGGCAAATGCTTATAATGATGACGCTTACAGAGCGTACACACCTTGTCAAGAGCTTGCAGGAGATCCAAAGCGACGATGCAAAAGTAAGCCAACGTGAGCCGGTTGCTCTCCTGCGACTCGTACGCGGCGGGAAGACCGTTGAGGCAGTTAACAAAGTAAAACACGTGACGATCGCGCTCGAATCGGGGTGCGGCTTCAGTCCCATCTTCTGCTAACGACGACATTGCACCAATGATCCCGAAACTCGAATTCGCCTGATTAGGAAAATATGGATCCCGAAAGCGCCCGGTTACGGTCCTGATTTCAAAATCGCGACGCGCATCCAGGCCTTGTGGAGGTCGCGGCTCGAGGGTCTTGGAGGGTCTTACGCATACTCGTATATAAATACGTGCTTCGGGAGCAGTGCTACGCCATTGTTCTTCCGAATTTGACATGGCCAAACTTGGTCGGAATTCGGACCATCACCGCACTGAAACGTATTTAACTAGCTAATTCACCGTGCAAAAACGTGTTAAACCTCTCGAAGTACCACGCGGAGTCACAACGAGTGCGCGGGAAGATGTGTGTCAGGAAGTGGTAACCATCACTACCAGCCGACGAAAACCTCAGGCGCAAGCGCAACCGAGGAGCCCTGCCTGGGCCACTGAGCTCACTGCCAAGTTTCGCTTACACGAAGACCTCTGCTATAGGCAATCCCCAAAATTTCAGCTGCTGAGCTCACTGCCAAGTCTCGATTTTCTACATTATACACTGAAAGAGTATCAATAACACTCAACATCTAGTACAGAATGCAGACCCACTCAACATCAATGAAGCCAAGTACCTATAACCTCTTTCCCCCTCTTTTACCTCCTTTATCATCCGACCAAAACTTCGTTCCCCCTTCAGCCTCAACCACCCACCCTTCCGCTTCAGACACGCCTTCCCCAGATGTTGCCTTGTGTGGATCTTTCCCATCCTTCTTCCACAGCCGCACTTTTTCAGGGGCAGGCAAAGATTTCTGAATGCCTCGTGTGCTGCCGCGGGTTGAAGAAATACCAGTGTACACTGAAGCTGCTGAAACATAACCTCGTTTAGATGATTCCGAAGACGACAATAATGAGGATGAAGGGTGAGATGAAGTTGAAGGAGAGCTGCTACCCTGCTCCGCCAGGTGTCGCCACCTGATTCGCGGAGCTGTCAGGTGGGTTCTGTGCAAGTCAACCTGAACTTGAGAGTGCAGGAGAGCTTCGGATCGCTGCAGCCAGATAACACCTCCCCCTGCTCTCACCTGCCCGTCCATACTGGGGCACGACGCTGAGATCGGCCCAGCCAATGAGATTTCGCCATGTGGCACATTCCACTCAAACCCTCCTGCACACTCCACTCCCGTCCAAGCGCTCTCGTTCCCTTTCCCCCTCTTTCCCCCATCCCCCCGCTTCAAACCTCCACCACTACCTGCCAAGCCATGCCGCCCGTGCCCTACCGCCCCCTGCTGCTGCCGCTGACTACTTTCAGCATCCTTGATCAGCCTCGAGATGCCTCTTAACGAGCCAGATACTAACGAGGATGGCAGGCTGACCCAGCCTTTGACAGGGCCCTGTGCGACCACATAGGCATCAGCAGTGAGCCACCAGGGTGCTTCTGCTATTGACTGCTGCTCCTGATACGCCTCAAGCTGTTCCTGTTCCTGCTCCTGCTGCTGTAACTGCTGCTGATACTGCTGCATTGACTGTTGCTGCTGGAAAATCAGCCGAGACTGTTGCTGCTGCAATGACCTGTCTCTCACACCACCCGTCACATCTGGTAATTGCTTGGAGGTGATTGATTCATTTCGACCCGCGTTCCCATCAGCCAGGTCCTGCCCTTCTGCTGCTGCAGCTGCTGCGGGGGCTGCAGCTGCTGCTGGAGCTGCACCTGCTCCGGGGGCTGCAGCTGCACCTGCATCTAACCCTGCAACTCCTGCTGCCTGGCTGAGTTCTGCTTGAAAGGAGTCAGACGGAATGAGAGATGCTCGAGTGATGGAGACACGAGGCAGGGTCACGTGGAAGGTTCCAGGAAGGCTGCAGCTGACAGAATCTGTGAGCAGCAGGCGGGATTCAGGGGCATTCCAGCTCTGCATGTGCATGAAGGGGATGGGGAAGGGGGGAGGTGGAGGAAAAGGGGAGAGAGGGGTAGATTTAGGGTGGACAGAAAGGAAGAAGGACAGGGAGGATGGGATATGGTATAGTATGGTATAGGAATATCAAAAGGAATTTCAGTTTTGCTTAGAAAAACAGCAGATGGAAGTGCATACTCACCAGATGGCCTGACATGAACTGCGTTCCTGACTGTGAATCTGTTACAAGCACGTTCCCTGCACTCACAGCAGCAATTTTCAAGATCCAGAGCTTAGATTCCTATTCATTGCAATAAAATATAGTGTGCTTTTTTATGTTCTTAATTTCACCAGGGACCTTCACTTCACCAGTGACGTTGATTATGGAATCCAATGCTTGTGCTGAGTCGCCTCTAAACGCGTACAGAGGCCTGCCGTCCTGAAACAGCTGCCCTTCTACCTGACGGGGGTGAGGCAGATGAGGAGACGAGGGGAGAGGAGAGGAGGGAAGGGAACGCGAGGAGGGAGAAGGGGATGAGAGGAAGGGAGAGGAAAAAGCAGTTAAGACGAGGCACAAGTAGAGACGGTTTAACTGAAGGACGAGCCAGGGGGGACGGTTCAACTGAAGGACGGCCTGTGGTTGACTAACCACTCCAAGACGGCCAGGGATGAAAAGAAGCATGACCCAAGAGAAAGCACTTCAAGGGAAGGCACTAATGCAAGTGAGGGAGTTAATATAAGGGAGGGCATTACTGAAATGTAAGTACCTTGGTCGCGACGATACCACCTTCCGCCATCCCTTGTGCTTTTCTCTCATCCTTCCTCTCCCCATCCACGTTCTCCTTCTCCCTTCCCCCCCTCTCGCCCTCCCCGCGCCTCTCCGCTTCCCCCGCCCCGCTGGAGCGCAGCGAATCGGCGCGCAGCGACCACGCCAGCTGGCAGCAGCTGATATGATCTCCCGTGCTGACGAATCGCTGAAGGATCACACCTCGCGCGGAGAGCGAAGCTAAAGGATCGCCATCCCCACCACTCCCAACATTTCCGCTGCCGCCATTTCCCGCGGTTGCCCTGCTCTTTTCGGTTTTGTTTGCTGTGAGCTTACGACTATCGCGAACTGTGCTCTTCTGACGCCGGATCTGTTCGTATACATTTCGCGAATGCTCGCCGAGCGCGACAATGCGCTGCGAAATGTGGTCGCGAAACGCCCGTAACGCATCGTCACGACCGCTTACCCCAAATACGCCGGCCATGCGTACTGGAGTGGCACGGGAAATCAACTGAGGCGGAAGCAACTCTCGATGATGGAGCAAATGCGAATTGAATGCATCTTTTCGGAGAAAGTGCCTCCAAAGTGGAGAAAGTGGTGACTATGCATTCCTCGATACTAGCTGCCTCGTTTTTTCTAGGTCGAACTGCAAAACATTTTTCCCAGATGAGGAACAATGAAATGCTTCAGGCATTGAAGCAAGACAAATCAGATTTAGCCTATTCTTCTAATGGATCAGTCTGTAGCGCTCCACGCATTTCTTGCTGAATCTCTCCACATCCGCACCTTCATTGTGACACCCGTCTTCTTTCCATGCTTTCAGAAGACCTTGGGATTGGCAGCGGATGTGCCTCCGTATTGAAGACATATTTGTCAAATGGAAGTAGGTCATTCTCCCCGAACAGGAGGTAGAAGTACTTGAGGGTTTCCCCGAGGAAGAACGTTTCCATCTTGTTGCGCTTTGGCGGAGGCACTCGAGAAACGTCATCAAGTGACGTGTATCCACCCGTTGCCACGCGCGTATGCTTCTCGAAAGCTTGGAACATACGCCACCCCGCCTCGCGATACCTGCAATCCATGTGACAAAGAACAAATGAAACGGCAACATGATACCGTAACTGAAGAATGTTTCACGTGGTGGAATGGCTGTGGTGCAAATTCAAAAGCAAAGATACTCCAACAGCGGTCTGCCTCAACTCAGATTGACACACACCATGGGTTTCCCAGTGACTCGGTGCATGTAACGCCTCCACCATCTCTGGTGTCAGCAGGCTGTGTGGAGTGCTGTTCTGTTCGCCCTGCACCCTGATGAGCCGAAGGCACCCAAACACCCAGTTACCTACCGTGAGTTCCCAGTGACTCGGTGCATGTACAGCAGCGCCTCAACAATCTCGGGTCGCAGCAGGTTGTGTGGAGCATTGTCCTGTGCACACTAAAGCACACAAATTTTCCACCCACGCAACACACACATACCGTGGGTTGCCAGTGACTCGGTGCATGTACAGAAGTGCCTCAACAGTCTCCGGTCGCAGGAGATTGTGCCGGTCTGCCTGGTGAATCTGAATGTCTCTCCCATACTCCGCGTCCTGCCTAGTCCCCATATACTCTTGAGAATCCTCCTGCAAAATTTGTAGGAGCAATAAGGGAATCAACAGGAGTGAAGAGGAGTCAACAGGAGTGACATAGCCACAAGAGCGGACAGAAGAATCATTGCACGGCACTGGAATCGGCACTGCACGTCCAGACCACATGCAACAGGAAGGTGCAGTGGCAGCATCAGCAGCAGCACCTGATAAACCGTTGCCAGATAAAGCACCCCAGCCCACTCACCACAGGCACCAGGAAGTGACGGGCTGGCAACAGGAAAGCCCACTCACGCACATGTTGAAGTAGGCAATCTCAGGTGCCAGAAAGTGAAGCGCTGGCAACAGGAGCAGCCACCTACCTTTGAGGAATTTTCAAAAAGAGAGGCCACTCACGCGCATGTTAAAGTAGGCTATCTCAGGCGCCAGGCCAGTGGCCGTCACTTCATACATCTGAATGCACGTCCCCGTCACCAGCAATGATCACTCACCTCTGGCACCGGAAGAAGCACTAGAAGAGGCAATGGAAAGAGAGCTAGAAACAGGAAAACCCACTCACGCGCATGTTGAAATAGGCCATTTCAGGCGCCAGCCCCATCACCGTCACTTCATATGTCTGAATGCACGCATCTGTCACATTCCTTGCCAAGTCCAGCAGCTCTCATACTGAGAAACCACGAGAAACTAACTACTCACGCGCATGTTGAAGTAGGCTATCTCAGGCGCGAGCCCAGTGGCCGTCACTTCGTACATCTGAATGCACGCCTCTGTCACATTCCGTGCCAAGTCCAGCAGCTCCCTCCCCTGCTGTGTCAGCACACCCCTTGCTGCCGCCTCTGCCTCTGTCAGTCCCTCCGTCGCTCTTAAAGCCAACGACCCAGGTAAGAAGCACACCTGGCCGGGAGGAGGAGGGGGCAAAGGTTTAAGCTTAGGGTAGACTCCACACCTCCAGCAGCTCCCTCCCCTGTGCCGTCAGCACACCCCTTGCTGCCGCCTCTGCTTCCGTCAACCCCTCAGTCGCTCTAAGAGCCAAAGAGCCAGGCAGGAAGCACACCTGGGCGGGATAGAGGGAGTGGGAGCAAGGAGCAATCTTTGAGCAATCACGACAGCTCCAGCAGCTCCTCCCCTGTGCCGTCAGCACACCCCTTGCTGCCGCCTCTGCTTCCGTCAACCCCTCAGTCGCTCTAAGAGCCAAAGAGCCTGGCAGGAAGCACACCTGGGCGGGATAGAGGGAGTGGGAGCAAGGAGCAATCTTTGAGCAATCACGACAGCTCCAGCAGCTCCTCCCCTGTGCCGTCAGCACACCCCTTGCTGCCGCCTCTGCTTCCGTCAACCCCTCAGTCGCTCTAAGAGCCAAAGAGCCTGGCAGGAAGCACACCTGGGCGGGATAGAGGGAGTGGGAGCAAGGAGCAATCTTTGAGCAATCACGACAGCTCCAGCAGCTCCTCCCCTGCTGTGTCAGCACACCCCTTGCTGCCGCCTCTGCTTCCGTCAACCCCTCAGTCGCTCTAAGAGCCAAAGAGCCTGGCAGGAAGCACACCTGGGCGGGATAGAGGGAGTGGGAGCAAGGAGCAATCTTTGAGCAATCACGACAGCTCCAGCAGCTCCTCCCCTGCTGTGTCAGCACGCCCCTCGCTGCCGTCTCTGCCTCTGTCAGCCCCTCCGTTGCTCTTAAAGCCAACGACCCAGGTAAGAAGCACACCTGGAAGGGAGGAAAGAAAGATGGAAGGCTACAGCGAGTGGGTCCTCTCAACAGCTAAAGTGCCAACTATGCAATTCAATGGCTATCATGCATGCAAGCAAGGGGGGGATTTAATGGTGGGACGGATCCAAGGTGGCTGCATGCGCCCCACATGCGCCCCATCATTTTAGGGTGCAGTGCAGGGTCCTGTATGCGCCTTCAACTGCCCTCTCCACTGTTGCAATCCAAGACCTATTACTCATCCATCCAGGCGGAGGGTAACCAACGGCTGGGAAGCTGCCTCACAAACTCACCAGGTGGTCCGTCTTGGGGTGCAGCTCCCCCAGCTGTCCCGAGGGCCGCTCAGCGATGAAGGTGAGCCCTTTAGATTGACTGCGCCGCCCCCTCAGATACTACACAGGTGCCCCCATCTTTCACTCACCAGGTGGTCCATCTTGGGGTGCAGCTCTCCTAACAACCCTGAAGGCCGCTCAGCGATAAACGTGAGCCCCTTGGGCTGGCTGCGCGCCACCAGCCACTTGTGCATGCCCTCAGATACTCCACATACCCCCCGTCTCTCTGAATGACTCACCAGGTGGTCCATCTTGGGGTGCAGCTCCCCCAGTAGCCCCGAGGGTCGCTTGGCGATAAATGTGAGCCCTTTAGGTTGACTGCGCGCCACCAGCCACTTGCGCATGCCCGCCACCGAAGAGGAGGGGGATGGGTCGCACAGTCACACTCACCAGGTGGTCCATCTTGGGGTGCAGCTCTCCTAACAGCCCTGACGGCCTCTCTGCGATAAATGTGAGCCCTTTAGGTTGACTGCGCGCCACCAGCCACTTGCGCATCCCCGCCACTGCCTCGTCAAACATCTCCGCCAAATACTGCACATGCGCTCCCCTCTTCCCTTCTCTCTTCCATCTCTTCAACTCATCCCCCCCCACCTCGTCACATGCATGCAACCAGACGGATGGGAGGAAAAGCTCTCTCTCTCTCTCACTCACCAGGTGGTCCATCTTGGGATGAAGCTCTCCAAGAAGGCCCGAGGGCCGCTCAGCAATGAAGGTGAGCCCTTTAGGCTGACTGCGCGCCACCAGCCACTTGCGCATGCCCGCCACCGCCTCCCTCAACATGCATGCAACAAGAGCGCTGGGAGGGAGGCGCCTTACTCACCAGGTGGTCCATTTTGGGGTGTAGCTCCCCTAATAATCCCGACGGCCTCTCAGCAATGAAGGTGAGCCCTTTGGGGCGACTGCGCGCCACCAGCCACTTGCGCATGCCCACCACCGCCTCGTCAAACATCTCCGCCAGATACTGCACATGCGCTCCCCTCTTCCCTCCCCCTGCTCCTCCTCCTGCTCCTCCCCCTGCTCCTCCTGCCCCTGCTCCTGCCCCTGCTCCTGCCCCTGCTCCTGCCCCTGCTCCTGCCCCTGCTCCTGCCCCTGCTCCTGCCCCTGCTCCTGCCCCTGCTCCTGCCCCTGCTCCTGCCCCTGCTCCTGCCCCTGCTCCTGCCCCTGCTCCTGCCCCTGCTCCTGCCCCTGCTCCTGCCCCTGCTCCTGCCCCTGCTCCTGCCCCTGCTCCTGCCCCTGCTCCTGCCCCTGCTCCTGCCCCTGCTCCTGCCCCTGCTCCTGCCCCTGCTCCTGCCCCTGCTCCTGCCCCTGCTCCTGCCCCTGCTCCTGCCCCTGCTCCTGCCCCTGCTCCTGCCCCTGCTCCTGCCCCTGCTCCTGCCCCTGCTCCTGCCCCTGCTCCTGCCCCTGCTCCTGCCCCTGCTCCTGCCCCTGCTCCTGCCCCTGCTCCTGCCCCTGCTCCTGCCCCTGCTCCTGCCCCTGCTCCTGCCCCTGCTCCTGCCCCTGCTCCTGCCCCTGCTCCTGCCCCTGCTCCTGCCCCTGCTCCTGCCCCTGCTCCTGCCCCTGCTCCTGCCCCTGCTCCTGCCCCTTCTCCTGCCCCTGCTCCCGCCCCTGCTCCTGCGCCTGCCCCTGCTCCTCCCGTGCTCCCATCACCACCAGCAGCGCCACCAGCACCATCACCAACGGCAGCTGCACCAGTGTGATTGTCACCGCTCGTTGGAAAGCTTGTGGTTACCACTTGCAGAAGCGCGGGCGGGTGGTCCCTCTGCTGCAGGAATGCTTTGATGAGATACTCGTAGTAGCTGTCTCCCCTTGAGCCCAGGCGAATGTTCTCCCCTGAGAATCCACCAGAGTCGGGACTGGGAGGGAGGAAGAGAAGGAGGGAGGAAGGACAGGAAGAAACGGTGACACAAGCAAGCAAGCACACGCCTTAATGAGATACTCGTAGTAGCTGTCTCCCCTTGACCCGAGTCGAATGTTCTCCCCTGAAAACCGACCAGAGTTGGGACTGGAAAAGAGGGGAGGGAGGGAGGACGGGAGGGAGGAAGCGACAAGAAGCGCACAAGCAAGCAAGCAAGCACACGCCTTGATAAGGCACTCATCGCCTGCATCGCTGCTGCATGGCTGCCTCCCCTCCCCTCCCCCGTCCCACCCCACCTCTTTCAACCCCTGCTCCTCCCCTTTTCTACTCACTCCATGTAGATGGGACACGTGCAGGGGCACGAGTCCATCCAGTTGCTGCAGCCCCCGCACGTGTCCCATCACCTGCATTGCTGCTGCACCCTCTCCCCCCAAACACTTTCAACTCCCTCTACTCACCCACACCTGCATCGCTGCTGCTCCGCACTCCCTCTCCTATCATTCATGCTTCCCCACATCACTCACTCCATGTAGAGGGGCACCAGTCCATCCAGTCGCTGCAGCCCCCGCACATGCTCCATCACCTGCATCGCTGCTTCAACACACCTGCTCTGCCATGTCTCCCCACATTACTCACTCCATGTATATTGGCACCAATCCATCCAGTCGCTGCAGTCCCCGCACATGCTCCATCACCTGCATCGCTGCTGCTCCGTACTTCTGCTCCCCCGTCAGTCGGCTCAGCTCCCAAAACTCCAGCTGCACTGTTGTGCACTCTGCTGTGCTGCTCAGCCCGCCCCCCCCAGCCCTCTGAGCGTACCTGGTGGCATGCGGGAGGCGAATGAGAGAAACGGGGGACAGAATAAGGTCAGAAGCACAGAGCTTGCCTTTACTCCTCTCTCTCATGAGTAGGCTCAGCTCCCAAAACTCCAGCTGAACAGTCGTGCACTCTGCCGTGCTGCTCATACCGCCCCCCATAGCCCGCTGAGCGTAGCTGGTGGGAGGGGAACAAGAGCCATGGGGGATAGAGATCACACCGTCACTGATGCACGGCATTCCTTGATCCGTACTTCTGCTCCCCAGTAAGTCGGCTCAGCTCACAAAACCCTAGTTGCACAGTCGTGCACTCTGCTGTGCTGCTCATACCCCCTCCCATGGCGCGCTCTGAGTGTATCTGATGGTGTAAGAGGGGAGGTAAGGGAAAGACGAAACGGGTGGCACACGCACCACATGCTTCCCCCGCACCCTCTTGCTCTAAGGCATCACTGCACTCACCGCTGGGCCAGGTACACGTCTGAGAGGGGCACGGGCGTGGGGCTCTGGGTGAGGGCGAGCATGAGGCGATCCGCCAAGTCAACCGCCACTTCAAGATACTTCTCTGCAGCAACCATCTTGGCTCCAAAGGCGTCACAGAGACAGCCACAGAAAGGATCACTCACCGCTGGGCCAGGTATACATCTGAGAGGGGCACGGGCGTGGGGCTCTGGGTGAGGGCGAGCATGAGGCGATCCGCCAAGTCAATAACAGCCACCCCCAGATACCCCTCACCTGCCAGCCAACCTTGGCTCCAAAGGGGATACCGAGAGGGTCACTGCACTCACCGCTGGGCCAGGTACACGTCCGAGAGGGGCACGGGCGTGGGGCTCTGAGTGAGGGCGAGCATGAGCTGATCCGCCAGATTAGCCACCACCCCCTGATACCACAAAGCTACACCCCTCCTGGCATTCTCAACCAGGGCCACAAACAGGATTACTCACCGTTGAGCCAGGTACACGTCTGAGAGCGGCACGGGCGTGGGGCTCTGAGTAAGGGCGAGCATGAGGCGATCCGCCAAGTCAACCGCCACTTCAAGATACTTCTCTGCTGCTGGCCCCCCTACGTCTTCTTGCAATCCCCCTCCTCCTCCCTCTCCTCCTTCCTTTCCTCCTTGCATCCCTGCCACTCCTCCCCCACTCACTCCCCCTCCCCCTCCTCCTCTTTCCACCCCTCCTCTCCCTCGCCAGCTCGGGTCCTTTTTCAGGTGGTATGCGCTCAGCAACCCGCCCAGAACCCGGATTGTCGTCTCGAAAAAGTTCACCTGCCCGGCATGGTTGATCTTCTCAGGCAAATTGTTTACAACCCACTGCCCGGCTTCGTCTACTATGTCTTTAATCCCCATGATCATGGCAGTGTCTAGACCGTCCACTATAGTAGCCCCGAGCCTGCCCAACCCGTCCTCGCCGCCTCGGCTCAGCGGCATGAGCTCGTCCGAACCAAACGCGTAGGTTCGGTAACCCTTCCAGGCATGCCAAAAAGCAGCAACCACCTGCTCCTGCCGTTCCTTCGACACAGGCTCGGCTTCGGCTCGGTGGGACTCCGAAACAGCAATATCTCGTATAATGCCCCCAGCAGCAGCACTCCTGTTCCCCACACCAATTCCTAACCCTTCTGCGCCTTCTCTCCCTTCCATCCCACCTCTCCCTTCCCTCCCAAGCCCCCCTCCTGCCCATCCCTCCACCGGCCAATTCCCCTTCCCTCCTGCCACCCCACCCCTCCTCCCCAGCTCACCTCTCCTTTGCCTCCTCGCCCTGCCCATCCACATTCTCGCGCCTTCCCCTGCTAACTCCCTCGCTCGCCCGTCCCTCAATCTCTTGTGAGCCCATTCCCTCCTGAAGTCTCTCCTAGTCATCGCTCGTAAAGGAAGCACGTCTAAGCTTGAATTCCCCATCCTCCCTCCCCTGCCTTCCCCGCTCCAGCGTCCCTCCTCTCCTCCGCCCTGCCCTTTCACGCCTGCCTCGTCCCGGACCAGCCCAAGAGGGTCGGTGAGCCTCGCCCCGGTGGCTCCCGAGCCTCGACTGCCGTTCCTGAGCTTCAGGTCCGGGACTTCGTCCCTGGGTTGGTTCGCAAGCTCCTCTCTCTGCCTCTCTAACTCCTCATCCAATTCCTGTTTCCGTCTCTCTACCTCCAACTCCTCTTCCTTCTCCTTTGCTGTCGCTTCCTCTAATTCCCTCCTCCTCCTCGTCTCCTCCTCCCCTTCCTCCCGCGTCTCCTGAGGCTTATCCTTGCCCTCCCGTTTCCGAATCTGCTCCTCCTGCTTCCGCCTTTCTTCCTTCCGTCTCCGTTTCGCCCGGAGCTCTCGAGCCATGCTGTCAGCCCACGTCTCGTCGTCTGCTCCTTGGACCTCCCCACTCACTCTCTCTCTGCCCGCACCACTCACACTCTCCCTGCTTTCATCACTCACTCGCTCCACACCTCCACTGTGTCTCTCCACTCTCTCCACCCTCTCCCCTATCGTCTCCCCCTCCTTTTGTCCCCCCACCACTGCTTTCACGCTGGATGAATCATCGGAGGAAGCAGAGGAAGACGAGGAAGAGGAAAGGGAGGAGGAGGAGGAGCGGGAGCGGCGGGAGGAGACGGAGACGGAGAGCAGCCAGAGGAGGAAGAGGAAGGCGAGGAGGCCTGCAAACTGGCGCGCGGGGGATTGGCGGAAGTAGATCGCCACGCGCTGATGGGGGAAGGCGGAAGCAGGGGTCGGAGGGGGGAAGGGAAGGGGGGAGGAGAGGGAGGAGGGGGGGATGGGGGGGAGGCAAAGAGGACGGGGGTTGGGGAGAGTGGGTGAACGGGAGGAAGAAATTGCGAACAGGAAGGAATGAGTTAGACGCGAGATTTAAATCGAAAAGCTCCTACGAGCCCGAATATGGTTATGGCAAGTTGGGTTCACAAGTAATTGAGGGAAATCATGAGTCTCAAGTGTGGTACTGTGGGATCACCGCGAGGGACCGCGGAGAGGAAAGGAAGAGTTACGATCGCTCTTGAGAATTCTCAAAATGATCACCGAGAGGGACCGCGGGGAAGAAAGGAAGAACTACGATGGCGGAGCAAGGACGAAGGACGATCGAGGAAAGTACCGAATAAGCCTGACTAGCCCTTCTCAGTCTCCAAGCCTACCGACTCCTACAACAGCAAGCCCAACGAAGCGCAACGAGTTATACATTAGCGAGCCTAGCCTTCACGATCCCTACCTTAACGAGTCCTCCCCGTCGCCGGGATTTCGCGTTGTCGTACGAATCGATGGAATTACCCAAAGACGTCGCCATAGCAGCGATCAGGGTAGGGCGAACCTATACTTGAGACCCTGGCTTCAATCACGGAGCATGAAACCTATACACCAGGAAGGGTGGAATCAACACAATTACATAGCGGGAGGCCTGAGTTAATTTCTAAGAGAGACGCCTCAGGCCTCAGGCCTCAGGAACAACCTTCAGTCTTTTTCTGAGACCCCTCAAAGACAGCGTTCGGATAGGACAATTCGTTATAAATCATATACGTGTCACGAGGCTAATGTGGCTGATATGGTCTGACAGGCTGAGAAAGCCAGAGGGCGACTCGGGCCGGTGAGAAGTAACCGATATGTCTAGATATAAAACATCAAGGACACAAGGAACAGCAAGGCCTGAGGCGTCTCTACCAGGAACAACAAAGAGGTCGTTGGAACGAATGGGCTGGTGTGTGGACAAGGATAACCAGATTCAGAAGCAGAAAGCAGAACACAGCAAGCGGTTTGTGCAGGTTTTGTACGATCCACAACGTTTCGCTGGTAGTAACAGCGGTTGTCAAAGTCTGTGCGGGGACAACTTCCCATGACATGATCTGGTGCATCTTGTGGTGGAGTTCCCAAGGCCACTGCGCCCTGCTCTCCAGCAGCTGACAGGTCAGTTTCAGCACGCGTTTCGTAGGATTCGCGCCTTCAATGTCTCGGGCATCCTCGTTAGCACACTACTGCAATATAACAGGGCAGTATAATACAGCAGTTCCTTAGGGGTTACAGAACCTATTCAGTTACCATTCACACATGCATACATTTCATGAGCAGATGCATACACAGCATAGCAATGTACAAACAGCTAATGGACCATAGACAACGCCTTCAACGCCTAAATTTCAAATTAACAGCTTCCTTAGCTTTCCCCTCGCAGATGTGCCCATCATGACACGATGTGAGCCCCAGGCTCTCCCTTAGATACCCTATGTGGAGCGAGAACGTTGACCTATCGGTAAGCATTGTAACAACAGCATGCGCTGCCACCAGCTTATCCACCATTGCTCGCTTACCTGGTTGAAGATTTAGCTCCTTAGGCAATCTAACCACCACAATTGACCATGCTATTCCCCTCGCCCTTGCAATCGATCCTTGCGACCGTAACTGCTCCTTGAAAACCTCCATCTCCTCATCAGAAGCATCAGAGGAAACGAAAAGGTTGGTCAAATTCAGCTGCACCATTTTCAATGCAGTACACTCCGCCACCGACTGTAACGGCCAATAATGTAGACCCACCCGGCGACTATAGTCAAGAAAATCCGTCCGTCGAAGGTGTAAAGAAGCAAAATTCACCCCAAGGTACTCCTTTATAAACGCTGCAGCGTGGTTAAGCAATTCCTGGGGAGGCCGAAAAAGCAGCTCCGAGGTGTTGAAAAATCGGCTAGGCCAGAATAATCCAGTATTAGGATCATTAACCTTGGAGAATGAGTAGAAAAGGTCGCCAAGAGCAAGCACGGGAACGTTAGCAGTTGCAGCTGCGATTTTAGGAGCCAAATCAAAGAGATTACCCTCCTCCTTCCCAAGAATTTCTTTCTCTGAGAGCTTTATTTCTGGAGGGACGTCGCCGCAGCTGCCATCTATGAAGGTACAGCTGTCTTTCACCTGGCCGCAGAGGAATTTATCAACTACTACTTCGCTTCCATTACCGCCTTTTAGCTTCAAAAACTCTGATCCTGTTATCACCTTGTGGAGAGGCGGGGAACCTGGTTGCTCTCCGAAACACCGAGACAAATGGCCAATGTCTAGAATTTCGGAATACACCACCGGCCGGCCTTCAGAGCGACGGACGCAGAGAGGAATATCGGGAACAATCAGTGTGCGATTAAGTAGAATCGCTGCCAGAATGGTCTTTTGAAAGCATAGGAGGCGATTTGTGCTTCCGCCGTTGGTGCATGAAAGCATAAGGTAGCGGTTGGGTAGCGGGATCCATTCCGGTGCTGCAGTAACAGGTTCGGATGTGGATGATGAAGAAGGCGGGAGCTGGACGCCAATAGGATCGGCACACGTGTCATTTGAGAGTTGCTGCCCGTCCTGAAGCTGCTCACTTGGGGATGAATTCAGTAGCCTTGGACTGACAGATTGCTGTAGTTGAACCACTGTGCTTGTATCGAGACCAGAAAAATCCTCTTGAGAAAAATGCTCGGAAAGGACAGGAAGTGGTTGAGGAGCTAAAGGGGTCGAACGAGGGGAGTAGGCTGCGAGGTACCCGAGGCTGAACGTAATGGCGGCGACGAGGAGGAGGGGGTAGGGAAGCTGATGAAGCTGTGTGAGCAGATTGGACCGTTGCTGCTGCTGTTGCGGTTCTACGCCATCAAGGTGTAATGGAAGGGAGACAGACGCCATCCCACTGATTACCACAACAAGCTACAAGCTGAACAGTAAACTACACGAGGACGCTATTTCACAGACATTGACGTATCGGGTTGGCGTTCTTCGTGATTCGTGACCCTAATCGCAGCAGGCTGTGTGTGATTCCCTCTGACCAGTCGCGAAGATGAAAAGCTTGGATGGGATATAGGAGCAGTGTGGAGCAATATTATCCCGAACCAGAGCTAGTTCTATGCGGCGTAGTTCTAGGCAATATTCCAAGACAAATGCCGGCGTTGCAATTTGCATATGAATGCTACCTCGCTTGACGGACCAGAGTTCCGCCCCACATCGCACAGCGGAAACAGGCCCGTTCGCCAGCACCCCCTGACCCTCGCGCAGGGAACGGATGGCCTAGAACAGCTGGCGGGGGTCACCGCGCCGTACCTTGTTACTATACGAACAGCTTCGTCCCCGCTGTAACATTCTCGCACAGCCCATTTGCACGTCGCCACGCCAGAACCATTTGGCTTGAAGGGGTGACGACGACTATTCTGTGTATCTGGGCAGGAAATCCATCCCCGTCAACAAGAGCATTTCTCACGCGCGACTCAGTATCATCTCGACTCGACAAAGACCAGAATGAGTAGATTTACAATTGTTGTGAACATTATAAAAACGTATAGAACATCAAATTGTCCCACATAAAAGCATTTGGCTACGCCAGTTCTGCCATGATTTGTTAGAAGTCCACTTGCGCTTATATCCGTGGGCGATACATTAGCATATCCTAACCCTTCACAGCAATGAACTACCAATTGATGGACCCTACTACACATCACTTCCTCCATTTTATATTAACTGCTTCTTTACCTCTTCCATCACATATGTGCCCATCATGACACGAGGCCAGCCCCAAACTCTCCCTTAGATACCCTATATGGTGTGAGAAAGTTGACCGATCAGTAATCATCGTTACCACGGCATGTGCTGCCACCAGCTCATCCACCATAGCTCGCTGTCCTGGTTGAAGATTCAGCTCCTTAGGCAATCTGACAACCACAGTCGACCATGCTATTCCCCTTGCCCTTGCAATGGATGCTTGCGACTGTAACAGCTGCTCGAAAACCTCCACCTCCTCATCAGAAGCGTCAAAGGACACAAAAAGGACTGTCAGGTTTAACTGCATCATTTTAGATGCAGTACACTCCGCCACCGCCTGTAACGACCAGTACCGCAGATCCGTCATCCGGTGGCTATGCTCAAGAAAATCTGTCCGCCGAAGGTGTATAGCAGCATAATCCCTCCCAGTGTACTCTTCTAAGAACCCTGCAGCTTGGTCAAGCACTTGCTGGGGAGGCTGGAAAAGCAGCTCACACGAGGAGTTGAAAAATCGGCTTGGCCAGAAGAACTCAGAACCAGGATAATCAACCTTGAAGAAAGAAAAAAAGAGGTCACCAAGAGCAAGCACAGGAACGTCAGCAGTCGCAGCTGCTATCTTAGGAGCCAAGTCAAAGAGATTACCCTCCTCCTCCGGGACAATTTCTTTCTGCAATAGCTTGATTTCAGCAGTCTCGCCGCAGCTGCTATCTATGAAGGTACAGTTGTACTGAACCTGACCGCAGAAGATTTTATCAACTACTAAGTCGCTCCCATTACCGCCTTTTAAAGAGTTGAACTCCGATCCTGTTATCACCTTGCGGAGAGGCAGCGAACCTGCTTCCGGACCTGGTTGCTCAGGTTTAGGCTCGTCTCCGAAGCACCGGGACAAGTGGCCAATGTCTAGGATTTCAGAGTACACCACCGGCCTACCCCGAGAGCGAGGGACGCAGAGAGGAACTTCGGGAACGAGCAGCGTGCGATTGAGGAGAATCGCTGCCAGAATGGTATTTAAGGTAGCGGTTGGGTAGTGGAATCCACTCCGGTGCTGCAAGTAACAGGTTCGGTTGTGGATGATGAAGAAGGCGGGAGCTGAACGCCAATGGGAGGTGCGCACGTGTCACTTGAGAGTTGCTCACTTGGGGATGGATCCAGTAGCATCGGACTGACAGACTGCTGCAACCGGACCACTCTGCTTGTATCGAGACCAGAAGCATCCGCTTGAGAGAAACCCGCTAAGTGGGAATGTTCCGAGTCCGAATGGACAAGACGAGGCTCTAAAACGGTGGAACGCGGGGAGGCTGAGAGGTAACCGAGGCTGAACATGAGGGCGGCGACGAGGAGGAGGTGGGTGTAGTAGTAGGGAAGCGGGTGAAGCTGGGCGAGCAGGTTCGACCGTTGCTGCTGCTGCTGCTTCTCCGGGTGATGCGGTATGTCGTCATGGTGTAATGGAAGAGAGGGAGACGACACCGTCATAGTGATGAATCACAAGCTTACCGCTTACTGCTTCTTACCACAATCTACAAGCAGCACAACACGGGAACGCTACTTCACGAACTCTTGGCGTAGTAGCGGGTTCGCGTTCTTTGTGAGCTCCAAGCTCCTAAGCCGCTCTCATAGTGGCAAAGATCGGACGCTGGGGTTATCCTTCGCAGAAGTTTTATAGGCTGTCTAGAGCTATTTAGTCCCGAGATTGTCTGGAGCTGCTTTATCCCTGACATCACCTGTCGAGCTATCCGATGCACCCGCCGGATTTTCTTTAGAATAGCATTCCACCGCCGGCCAGGACGGTAAAGAATCAGTGTGTAATTGTGGGCTGTCACACAGGCAGCTCCCGCATAACCTGCTGACGAATTCTGCAATCAGAAATCCCTGAAGATGATGTAATTTTTGTCAGCGAATTGACCGACGTCGCCGAAACCGCGATAGCCATTAGTGCCGAACAGACTCTTGACATCTGTACGTCTCTTACAGGTTATCTCGGAAGGTTAAATTTGTTTTTCTGGTCGTAACCAGTTTAAGGGGTATCCACTCCTAGATGAGCACGTGCTAACCCCTACTTGGGGCTGGCAGAACACGCCTGCACGGGGGTGGGTTCGATCCCAGGACCTCATCTATCGGAAGTGCCTCTTTCTACTGACTAGGCCACTTCGGGATGGGTTATCTCGGAAGGACCTCGCTTGGAAGAACGACACCAGGAAAACCCTGACCTTCATAGTCAGCGGACGCCGAGCAACACCTTGAACAAGCTGGCGGCGAAGACTGTGTGTGTGAAGTTATCTCGGAGGGACCTCGCTAAGCAGAAAACGACACGAGTAAGCCGTTTGGATTTTATCGGAAGAGATCGTTCCTTCCCGAAATACAATCCCTTGACCTCCATCGTCAGCGGGAGTCAAGCAGAACTTGAACTGACTGCCAGCGAGTAACGCCTACAGGTCTCAGCAGGTGTATGCAGATGCAGGCGTTCAGTTCAGACAAATGCAGGATGCAGGAATGAGGATGCGTGAGTTGAGACAAATGCAGTCGTTTCAAGTGGCGTCCATCCAAGCCTTTTTTGAGTCGAGTGAGGGAATGAAATGCCCAGCTCAACTTCCCTCCACAGTTGGGTTGAGCCAGTTTCCCCCAACGTCGCCAGGTGGATGCAGCCTCGTTACCTTTTCCACCATCCCCACCCCACTCCACCCCACCCCACTGTACCTCAACTCTCCGTACCCTACTCCACCCCACCCCACCCCACCCCACCCCATCACACGACGAGCAGCCCCATTCGCTACCTTCACCACCAAACGACGGGTGCTAGCTCCCTGGCCAGAATCGTGTGGCTTGGCGAGGCGACAAGTGTTTGGCAGGAAGCTGGTCCAACCAATTCTTTTGTGCAACTCACTATCAAGTCGACTCGATTGGGATCAAAACCAAGTGATATTACACGTGTATTGAAACATACCAGGTTACGTTAAGAACAAGTGTCACATTAGCTTATGAAGAACACTCTAATATGCTAGTGGGCCGATGGTATGTTAACTAATGTTGACACTTCATAGTAATAAATACACAGCTACTGGACCATAGACAGTATTTTCACAGCTTCCATTTGATATCAAAAGCTTCTTTGGAACGACCATCGCATATGTGCTCATCATGACACGATGTAAGCCCCAAACTCTCCCTCAAATACCCTATATAGTGAGAGAACGTTGACCGATGGGTAACTATTGTAACTACAGCATGGGCTGCCACTACCTTATCCACCATAGCTCGCTGAGCTGGTTGGACATTCAACTCCTTGGGCATTATGACAACCACAATGGACCATAACTTTCCCCGTGCCCTTGCCAGTGATGCTTGTGACAGTAACTGCTCCTTGAAAACCTCCATCTCCTCAACAGAAGCATCAGAGGAAACGAAGAGGTTTGTCAGGTTTAGCCGCTCCAATTTCGATGCAGTGCACTCCGCCACCGACTGTAACGGCCAGTACTGTACATCCATCATGTGGCTATGGTCAAGAAAATCCGTCCGCCGAAGGCTTAAGGATGCATAATTTCCCCTTAAGTACTCTTCTATGAACTCTGCAGCTTGGTCAAGTGCTTGCTTGGGAGGCTGGAAAAGCAGCTTACACCGGGTATTGAAGAATCGGCTTGGCCATAAGTACACAGGACCCGGATCTCCAATCCTGGAGAATGAAAAAAAGAGGTCACCAATAGCAAGCACAGGAACGTTAGCCGTTGCAGCAGCGATCTTTGGAACCAGGTCATAGAGATTACCACCCTCCTCCCCGAGAATCACTGGAATTGAGTTTTTTATTTCAGGGAGGACGTCGCCGCAGCTGCCATCTATGAAGGCACAGCTGGAACTGTACCTGACCGCAGAGAAATTTATCGACGACTAATTCGCTTCCACCACCGCCTCTTTGTTAGAAACAATAGGAGTGGGGCCTAGGCTTAGTAGCCTAGGCCCACACTAGGAGGTAGTAGGTTGTGCCCTAGGACTAGGGTTTGTGGTATACGAAGGAGAATTGGAGAAGTGAGAATGGGAATGATGATGAACTAGCAAGCAGCAGGATACATATAGGAAACCCTAAGGGGTTGTACTCACTATTGAGCACCCCACTGCAGGCTAGACAATAACATTCTGACACACCCCCATAGCCAAAGTGGGGT